TCGCAAAAATAATTTCTTACATTGTTTTTTAAAAAAATAAATAATATATATATAAAAAAAATCACGTTCTATTTTCTGACAATCATTTAAATAGCTCAAATAATTGATTTAGAAAACTTGTAATTTTATAGTTAAAATTACAAATATTTAAGAGTGCAGATTACTTTATATATGTTTGTAATGGGGAATTCGGAATCTCTTAATTCTAAATAATTTACTAAAGGCGGTTTTTGGGTTTTTTAAAAATTCGGTTTTACAGGAATTGTATCTCAGAAATGTATAGAGTTACCCAAACTGTAAATTTCAAACAATTTTGCCCAAGAACTTTAGAAACTACTTCTGATTTATATTAATTTTTGTATGGATTTTTCAAATAAATTAAAAAAAAATACTAAAAATGTATATGGCTAACATTGGCCAAAATTTATAGGGTAAATACTTTACACACATAATATATTTCCGGTTAAATATGGTTTTAAATTTTCAAATCGCCCTCGGGTAAGGATTTCAAATCAAGAGATTCCGATCCCCATACGACATATATATACCATCAGTGAGCTTTAAAACAAATTTTTTTTTGCACTAGATTTTTAAAACTATACTTTATAGAGAGAATATACTTTCCAAAATTGACAAAATTATTATTTTATTTTCAAACTATAAAACTTCTAGTCTATACATCGTCTCCACAAGCCTACCTTTAATGAATGTATTTACGGGTTCTGCTAGGAAAAAAAAAATGGTTTTTATTCTAATTCATCATATCAAGCTACCTCTCTCGAATCGGGATGATAATTCTTAATTTAAGGAAGACACTCCAACAGAGGATAAAGAAACTAAAGAATATTTCCCATCATACTATTACGGGAAAATGTTCAATATCAAAGGAGATGACAAAATAAAGCTGACTCTTTGAAAAGGAAATGCATACTTTAAAGTTCGCTTGTTAATTCTTTTATAACGGATTTAGAAAACCTTATATTTAATGATTTAAAAAAAAAATTTCGGACTTGCTTAACTTCATTTATGGAAGAACTTGGGAAATCCCATCTCTCTCTTATCTGAAGTAGTGTTGTTAACTAGCTCGTTTCGAGCCGATTTTTAGAAAACGGTTAATTCAATACTTTACCCATAAAATTATTACCCAAGTCTGAAGATTTTGCTCATAAAAGGAACAAAGGTCTAGACATATATTATCGAAATCTTGAGGCTTAGGCAATATTTCTCTGGCTACAATATTGAATTAGCCGTTTTTAAAAACACTAATCTGAAGGCTCCAGGGATTAATTCTGCATATCGCATAAGTTCAAAAGTAGAAATTTTTTTTAAAGTTTTTTTTTCCCCATCTACTCGCTCAGCTTACCTCAGCGCAATAGCCTCTCCCCATGTTATGTTTTAACTAACCCAGAATGGAATAATGAATTATTTGATTCATTTGAACGAATTGAATCATTCATTATTGGTAATTATATAACCGGACGAGAATAGTATATTTTATTATTCGCGCGAAACGAATTGTAAATTATTCGATTCATTCAAAAGAATCAATTACAAAATAGGATTGTTAAAGCCGGACATATAAATTCCCGGGAAAATATCTGGGAATTTATCGAAAGCGAAAGGAAATATTTCCAAAATTCCTAATTTTTTAAAATATTAATCCAAAATCATTAAAAAAACAAATTCTTACGAATAATCAATAGCTATTATTGATTCAAAATATTCTGGTAGCTCGCACATTTAATAGTTTTTTGTTTCACAAATCCTAATAACAAACAGATTTTATTTCGCAATAATACAACTTTTCTCATAATAGATTACCTATACCTAGATAGTGTTGTTAAACGGCTCGATTTGAGCCGATTTTTAAAAACGGCTAACTCAATATTTTACCCAGAAAAATATTAGTCAAGCCTGAAGATTTTGCTCATAGATGGCACAAAGGTCTAGATATCATTAGCAAAATCTGGAGCCTTAGGCAATATTTCTTTGGCTAAAATATTGAGTTAGCCGTTTTTAAAAATCGGTTCAAAATGAGCCGTTTTAACGATACTATACCTAGGCATAGGCGTAGCGAGGGGAAATTTTCCCATTTCCAGAAATATGTCATTTCTTGTGATTATCATTTAAAGCTAATAAAAAATCATTAGCCTTCTTCCTCCCTACTCCCTGTCCTCCAAAAAATGTATGTATATATCTTAAATACATGTATTTTACGATATTTTATACAAACTAATAAAATTATATATTTCCTAATTTATTTCAAGACACCAATTTCGTACATTTTAAAATAAGGATAATAAGTTGTTTTTATTATTAATATTACTCTCCTATCCTAATAATAATATTTTCTAGAGCTATATATAGGCTAAGGGAACCCGGCCAAAGCCCGGACATAAGCAGGCTGAAGGCCCGCCAAAAGAAAGGACTGAGGACCAAGCCCTTTAGAAATTTTTTAATCCCGTTCCACCCCATTAGGATAATAGTGGCTTCGGCTATGTACCTAGAATATGATTTAATTACACTAAAAAGGTTAAATCCTAATAAATAATTATGAATAGCTTGGATGCATTTATTAATTAGAATATTTTCGTAGCTTACATTTCATTACTTTTGTTTCACAAGCCTAATAACAAATATATTTTATTTTACTATATATAAATTTCCCCAAAATAAATTACTTATACCAGATACTATTTAATTTTTACTATGAATGTTATTTAAAAAAAAGGTCAGATCCTAATTTTTCTTATGAATTATCAATCATAAATAAGTTTTTGTTTTCTAAGGCATAATAAAAAATATATCTTTTTTGAACTGTACACAATCGACACAAATAGATTACTTAGACCTAGGTTAAGATTAAATTACATTAAGTATATATATATACATAGGAGTAGCCAGGATTTTCCTAAGGGGGGGGGGATTAAAAAATTACTGGGGCTTCGCCCCAGGCCCCTTTTGGGCGGGCCTTTGGTCCACTTTTGCCCGGCCTTCGGCAGGGTTACCTTGTCTATATATAGTCTTAAAATACTTTTACAAGATAGAAGGTTAATTTTAATAAAAAAAATAAGCCTGGAACAAATATGAAATATATTTTTATTAGTTTATATAAAATATAATAAATTAATTGTATATGCATTAATATAAAAGCATGGTAATAATTTATTCCAAACAAGTATAAGAAATTTATTTAGAAAAAGTAAGTAGGTATATAGTTGATATTCCTCTAATATAGAATTAGTTACAAAATACTAGGTAAAATTCCACTTTTACAGACATATTTGACAGTTAGATAATATATTGCAGTTAATATTTTAACAAATTTTACTAATCAATGCTCTTGATAATAAATATAGCAACATTTGCATTCAATTATTTAACGCCATCTATTTATTTTAAATAAAATATTAAAAATTAATCTTCATATTATTTATCTCGCAATGTCTTTAAAAGATATTTTCTGATGTCCTTATCAATATTTTATAGTTTTCTGTAAAATATATAATTCGCTATATTGACAAAAATACTTGATTGCCATATGATGATTGATAAAATTAGATATACGACATATAATAAATATTCCACTGTTTGTATTGACCTTTTTTTAAAATTTAATTTATGATTTAATTTTATCAATAGTTTTATAATTATATTTTACTTTTATTAAGATAAATTAATTAAAATTACTCACTTTATAAAAAATTATATTTGAAATATTATATTATTTAGTAATTTTATGGATCTATTATTAATAATTATATTACATTTCACTTTTGTCTTAAGACTTATCTTATATTCCATTTCTTAAAAAGATTTTTGGTTCACTTTTTTTAATATCTAAATGCTTTTTTTCAAAAATGTTTTAAATTATGATGAATATTTTTATAAAAAAAATATTAACTTTTACATTCTTTCTTTCAAATTATTGTTTAAGTTATATGCATACATTTTTGGGAGTCAGGGAGTGGGGGAAGGACTAAGGGGGATATTTTTTATTAGCTTAAAATGATATTCACAAAAAGTAATAAATTTCTGAAGGGGGGGGGTGGGGGAGGGAATTCCCTCTTGCCCCCCCTCCCCCCATGGCTACGCCTATGATATATATTTTTTAGTTTTATAGTAATTAAAGATAGTATAAAAATTGAAAAGTGTTTTTTACGATTTAAGAAATAAAATTTATTCACATATATTTTCGTTTAATTATCGTTATTCTCATAAATTCCCGGATACTCACAAAATTCCCATGGAAAAGTTACCGCAATAAAACATTCCTGGTAATTTGCCAACCCTAAATATAAATAATTCCTTGATCGATATTCGATTTATATTCATTTTTGGATGGGCTTAGGTTGGTTACATTATTATATTAATTGACACTGTTTATTTAGCACTATGTTCCTTTTAAAGATCTTCATTCTTTATTCTTCATTCATAATTAACTTATTTAGATTACAAGTCTATTGTTAATTGAATATTATAATAGTTATAATTAATCTATTATTGTGTTCAATCTAATTTTTTGATATAAATATATTATTTTTTATTTATTTTGTTTGATAAATTAATCTCTATTTAATACAAATAAAAACATTCACATTATTATAAAATAGTAATAAAAAAAATGCAAACGTTACTGTTTTAGCGACATAAAGTGTCAAAAACGACTAGGTATTGTTGTATCTGATCTGTTGATATATAATTGACATTTATGGACATTTTATCAATTGATTTTCGCATAAAAGATATATAACAATTTTTTTCTTTGTTATTAAACATATGATTTATTTTTTTATATTTGGAAATAAAGTATTTGTGAAAATTATATTTAGAAAAGTATTAGCATAGGGTTTATGATGCTTATTTAATTTAATGTTGAGAATTTACATATTTGTAATAATAACTATATTAGAATGATTTAAATAGATACAGATACCATATTTTTATATCTAGATACAGGACCTAGATACTTGTATCTAGATTTTTTAACAACTCTGGATTATAATAAGAAGGTCAGGGTAAAAATAAAATCTTAAAAAAATAAACCATGTTATTTAAATCAAATTAATTAGTTCTGAACTGAAAAACACCTAAATATTTTATATTTCTTTCTTACTTCTGTCGTAGATGTTTACTCATTTACAAGAAAAGATTCTAGAGATTAGTTCGCACTGATCCAGAATCTTATTACCGCGAAGTTATGAATATTATAATTAACTATAATAAAAAATTTATCTCTAATAGAATTCACAAAACAGTTTCAAATGAGAATTACGTAATTATTAAAACAAGTCATTTATGAAAATTTTTATATGCGCGTTATGTTAAGTTCCGGAATTTTTACGGATATGTGAATTGTTTTATATGGTTCAACTAACTGTTCTATTTCTAATATATTGGGTTCTGGGCTAGAATTGGTATGATGACCCGTAGATTTTTCACCAGAAAGGTTACCACCGTTAGTTGTTACACTAACGTTAGCATGATTTTTAACGGAATTTTCTGGAGAAGTTTGAGAACGATAATTGGCAGTAAAAATTGACGTATCGTATATCGGCAAAACGCTGGGGTAATTTTTCAACTTTTTTTTCCTCTTTCTAGACTTCCTTTTCCCCTCCATTTCCTTGAACAATTCGAAATCATCGTTCTTGTCGTTATTTTTATCTTTGACCCACATATTCAACAGGAAGGCGACCCATTTATGGGTCTCCGTTTGACAACCCTTGTTAACAACTTTGACCGAACCATTTATATTTGTGCCAGAGCGCGAAGAAAGATTTTTTGTGGACTTAAATTCCGCCACCGTTTTACCGTAGTCGCAGTAAAGGTTTATATCGAATCGATCCTTTGAGATAGCCTCGATAACATCCGAATCGTCGTATCGCAATGACGATATTCTCTTAGGCCATTTTATCTTACCTATAGTGCCGTCATCTTTTCTTGGACAATACTTTCTGGCAACTCCTCCGAACTCTTCCCTCAGTTCTTCCATTAACTCTCTACTGTATAACGTTGAAGAGGTGTCTTTATAAGAAGTTTTTAATCGTCCTTCCCCGCGAATATTTTCTGAATAATCGCTTCCCTTCGACGAATCCCCTTTATTCACGATCTTCTTTTCGAGATTGTTGTCTTCCGCGGTAAATTCTTCCTCATTGTATTCGGTCAAATTTTTTTGCGCGGGTTTTAAACTATTACGTCGATAAATTGTTTTCAACGTCGAATTTAAATCGTTGCTCACGTTAACGTGGTTCATATTTGGCTCCCATTTATCGGGTTCGTAGAAGTGCCGAGTATTTGAATCTAGGGAAAGTAAGGAGGAGTATAATTTGATTTTCCTTGTGGTATGAACTGCATCATTTTCTACCCCATTAGTAACATGGGCGGTGCGAGGCTGAAGGTAACTGATAGATGCCCTATATTTACGCACGATAGTCGGGATCACGTGACTATCAATTACAGAGCTAGAGATATGGCCAAAGTTTTGTTGATTAATTGATAGTTTTTTCCTTTTAGTCAGATCAATAGAAGAACGTTTCTTCGGTTTAGCCAAACTCTTTCTTATTTTACCACTACTCTTTAATCTTAGTTCTTTCGGTCCGAATATACGCTTCTTACCTAATTTGATGTTAAAGGTTAAAAATCCTTTACTAGTTTCACTCTTCTTGATTGCGCCGGTATAACCGGAACTGGAAGATGAACGTTCTTTCTTAATCGCGAATTTTATAGATGCTCTCGGATTTTTGGTTCCACCATATAAACTGGATTAAGAGTAAACGAAAAAAACGGGAATAATTATTCGATTTATAAGTGAATAAATTAAGAAGAATCAATCTTTGCTAAATGAGTGTCAAGTTTTACTTAGAATTCCCTACCACAAAAAATGCGTAATGTAATTGTATTATTTGCTACAAACCATCCATCTTAGTAGGTCCAGTATATAAAGATAAATAGTATATGCTTAAATTTTATTAAATCAATATATAACTTCTTCACTTGGGGTTCCCCAGCTGATTCTCCCGAATTATCATCTTAATGACAGGAAATAAAAGAATATAAAGCAAACAGTGAAAGGGTAAGGATAATCAAAAAAAAACACGATCAATTTATATTAATTTATTTATACTTATATTTAGGAGTCTCGTCTTCCGATTTGGATACAGATTGGGTAACCGGATTCCCGCCAAAATGATATCTAAGGGTTTTAGATGTAATGAAAGCCATTCTACTATTCTTTTCCGGTCGGAACATGATAATATACAGTTTTGGGAAGAAAAGGAATACGAGGGCTACGTAGGCGCTCAATATGACGCAAAAATTGTAAGAGATCGCCTTGGAGTCGCTACCGAAATATACTGGAACAAATGCTATCCAGATGACGCACGTAGTGTACATACAAAATCCTATAAAAAGGTAGTAATAGAGAAAGTAACATGAACGGTGTCATAATTCATTTATATAATATATGTATGATGAATATATGTAATAGAATACCTAATACCTAACCATAAATTTCATACAATTTTTACCATATTTAAGAGTATTTAACAGTGTTGGGGACTTTAAACATTTCTAGTTAAATCCGATCTTTTTAAATTTGTAAATCGCCTTTCGATAAATTATCAAAAATTTAGGGACTCCGAATTCCAATAAATTCCGCATCTCAATAAGACGACACATATATAATATATATGAATCTTATATAATGTAATTAAAAAAAATTTTTTTTTCCCCTCTCGGAAGTATTATCGAGAATTAAGTTATATAAATTAAAAGTTAACAAAAACTTCAATGACGCTAAACTGTGAGTTTTGAGGAAATATTTAATAAAAATTCGGAAAAGAGTGTATGCAGATTAAACATAATAGTTGGAATATTTCGAAAATTCACATTTTTTACAAAAACTAATTTAAAGGAATAAAATTATGATTTATTTGCAAAGAAAGTAGGGTTGTTTTAAATGGCTAAATTTGAGTCGATTTTTAAAAACGCTCGAGATTTGGCAAATAGATGTCCAAACATTTGCTTCGATCTATGAATATTTAGAGGCTCGCGTAATATTATTTATGAATAAAACATTGAAGTTAGCCGTTTTTTAAACACTAATTTAGAAAGAATAAAATTAAATTTTTTATTAACCTATAAATTTTGCCTCGTTAAAATTTTCGGGTAGGTTTCTAGTTTTCACGGCGTAAAGTGTGCACAGTCCTATCAAAAAGAAATTGTAGCTAAGAGGTACCATTATGGCTATGTTAGAGGTAGCGCAAATAATTTCCACGTTCTTCGAAACGTCTCCCGAAGAAGTTATAGCGGCGTATTGCAACTTGGTGCCCGGGGGTTCCCAAATTGTCATAGTTATCAATATAACAATTTCTATGGCCACGAGAAAAAGTGTTATGACCAGTTGAGCCCACAAACTCATAAACTTCGGTTTGTGAGTGATGATATGATCTTTACTCTTGGCTCCTTCCAGTATACGAGAGATTCTATTCGTCTTGGTCACCAAGGCCGAATATATCATGGAGAAAGCGAAACCGGGCATGATTCTGTTCATGGCGCAAGATACGCGATTGGGCTTAGTAGAGAGAGGGATCGATGTCGACAAAGAAATTATTATACCCACGAGTATAACGTACATAAGTTCCCGCGTAGACGATTTAATGACCGGCGTGTTATTATGCTTCGTAAAAACTATCAGCACTAAAGAAGTGAGTGTTCCGCCAAGGGTAGCCATTGTCAGAGCTATTATGCTGGCAAGATCGTTCCATCGTACGTATCTCTCCGGGACCTTTAGGCACACTTATATTTAATAATATAGTAATATACAGTTTTAGCTTAGTTTATACAAATTATCTGGCTAATATATTTATATATATATACAAATTACAAACTATACGGCAATAAACATACAAACTAGTTATCAAATGTTTTTTTATGAAGCTTTTTTAATGGATTTTGGAAAATTTTATCGCTTTTAAATATAAAAAGCTTCAACTTCATTATTTTCCCTATTTTAGTATTCTTTTTTTCTATATTTTTCCAATTTATTTTATTGCTTAAATACATTAAAAATTGTTTATTTATTTATTTATTAAAATAGAATAAATTAAATTTTTGGATATAGGCTTTGGGGAAATTTTTTAAAACCTGTTATGACTTTGGGCCAGGCTTGAAAAGCCTGGGCCTAAATGTTTCATATTTAAGACCTGGCCGGGTGTGATCATAAAGTTATGAGCTATGAAGGCATCTGACCTTCATAGGAATTCCTAATTCCCTTGCGAAGTAAGGAATAAGGTTTCTGGAAGCGGGGTTAAAGATTTCGATTATTAAAAAGAGTACCAGTAGCCATTTCTGAGTAGGGTTGGGATAACTAGAGGTATTTCTATAAAATGAAAAACGAAACAAATTCGAATCGAATATAGCAATTTTGCTTTATTTCATACACCAAAATAAATGAATGCTAAATTGTAAACATATAGGAAAATTCGAAATATAAAATATGTAAAAAAAAAAAAAATTAGCCGAAGGGATATATTAAATAGACTAAAGAAAATTCATATAAGATTATAGGGGGGAGAGGGGTTTTTTTTGAGCCGATTTCTAAAAACGGCTAATGCAATATTTTATTAGGAAACAATATTATGCAAGCCTTAAGAATTTTGCTTATAGGTGACATAACGGTTTGTACGTTTTTATTAACAAATAATGAGTTAGCCGTTTTTAAAAAATCGTCTCAAATGGAGCTTTATATCAACAATAGAGGGATGTGGGTATTGAGGGTTAAAAAAAAATTATCTCGAAGAAAGAAAACTTAGCTAATTTAACTGTTCAAGTTATTAATGTTGTTGTTATAAACGGCCGTGTTTTGAGTCGATTTTTAAAAACGGCTAACTCAATATTTTATCCCAAAAAAATAATTACGTAGGCCTCACGATTTTGCTCATAGTTAGCAAAAGGTTCGAACATCTTAGGGGCATTTTCTGGCTAAAATATTGAGTTAGCCCCGTTTATAAAAAACGGTTGAAATTAAATTGTTCAACAACACTAGTAAAGTAAAAATATATTTATTTAGCGGATAAATGTTATAATGAAATGAGTAAAAACTTGTTCTATTGAAATCTGGCCAATAACCCATTTGACAAGTCTTGCACGTCAATTCATCTATAACAAATTCGTTAGGCTTGCATTCCCTACATTCCCAACAACATGTCAATCCACCTTTCTTAATACTCTGCCAATTATTTTAAATATATTTCACTTTGGTATTTATATTAAAATAAAATATTTCGGTAGTAAGGAAGGGATATATATATATAAACAAAATTGATTAGTTTGATAAACTTGATATCTAGTCGATAAATTTTTTTTAGCATCGTTTCATAAATTTTTACTATACGATCTTAATTTAGGTTTATGCAAAACCTTATATAAGAATATAATAAAAATTGTATCAGTATCTAAATAACTTTTTAGACGATGTATCTGTATCTAGATCTATTTAAAAAGTATCTTTCAACAACTCTGGGTAAATATTAAAAACTTTTTTTTTTAAAAAAAAAATATGTTTTTTATTAGGGACTCTCTTCTAATTGTATCTACTATATGATTAAATTATCTAATAAAAATGTTTTTTTTTTGTGGTAAATTAATTTATTATTATTAAACTTAAATATATATATTACACAAAAAATATTATTTAATATCTCTTTTTTAAACTTACAAAAGAATCGAAAATATCTTTTAAAAAAAAAACTTTTATGAATCCTTTCCCACAAGCATCGCTACAAATAGATTTAACGGTTGTTCCATTATAATCGGAAGGCGGTTTATATTTGACGGTGCTAAAAGTCAGAGTATTATTCTTCCAATCTCCTATTTGTGTATATCCGAATCGATTGGCACCGATCCTCTGGTAATTCACAATATCGTACCTGGAATTAATAAAGGAAATAAAACTATTTCTGAAAACGATATTCATCTAAGAATACATTTAAAAAATTGATATATTGATATATATATATCGTACGGGAGATTTTATTTTAAAAATTCTGATTTGATTAGGGAAATTTATTTCGGAACGTAAATTTTAAACAATTTTTGCTACGAACTTTAAACGATTTTTTTTAAAATTTATATATAAAAATATCTCTATAAAATTTAAGAGTCGTTTGTTTTAAAAGTTAAACCGAAATTGTCAATATAAAATATATATTATATATGTCATTATTTATTATATCTGACATTTATTTTCAAGAACAACAGAAAAGATACAAGTTAAGAAGCCAGTTCCCCCCACCTTCTCTCTTCTCACATTGTCTCGTTTGATTGTGATTATATTAATCTGTCTTGTGAGATATTCAAATTAATAAAATATCTTACGCAAATTAAAAGAATTATTACCATATTATTATAATGTAATGTTGGTTTAATTTCATATTACAGACTATGTAAATTTTATATAAGAAAATTATTTGATTTTTTTTTTGGAGATTTGAATGATTAAATTTTTCTTGCAATTTTTATTTTAACACTTAACTTTTAATTTTTGTTTTCTTTCTTTCTTTCTTTCTTTCTTTCTTTCTTTCTTTCTTTCTTTCTTTCTTTCTTTCTTTCTTTCTTTCTTTCTTTCTTTCTTTCTTTCTTTCTTTCTTTCTTTCTTTCTTTCTTTCTTTCTTTCTTTCTTTCTTTCTTTCTTTCTTTCTTTCTTTCTTTCTTTCTTTCTTTCTTTCTTTCTTTCTTTCTTTCTTTCTTTCTTTCTTTCTTTCTTTCTTTCTTTCTTTCTTTCTTTCTTTCTTTCTTTCTTTCTTTCTTTCTTTCTTTCTTTCTTTCTTTCTTTCTTTCTTTCTTTCTTTCTTTCTTTCTTTCTTTCTTTCTTTCTTTCATTAAAAAGGGCTATATTATTATTTACATATATAAACAATTTTCTTCATTCACAAGAGTTACACTTATATTCATTTTTACATAATCCATTATTTTTGCAATTTCTAACACGATAAAAAATAATGAATATGTTATTTGTAAAAAGAATTTCATAAAATTAAAAGATTTTGAATATTGTGCAATGAGAAACTTGGCAGGAGGATCCCCATTTTCGTCGAAATTGATGATTTCCCCATTGACCCCCTTAAAAGTAACATTTAGCAAATATTCCAACAGGAGTGAACCATTGATCGGCTTCATGACTGGGCATAGTCCGGGGAGACCGCCACACTCTATCTTGTGCATCTGACTCAACCCGTGGGCTATTGTATACACCGCGTTGATGACGAAGGCTAGTTTGGTGTCCTGCTTGTAGTCTTGGATCAATGATAAGTTCTCTTTGATAAATAATGAAAAAAATAATAAAATAAATGCGGAATGAAAAATGAATAAATAGGAAAAAAAGAGACAATGTAAAAATTAAATAAATAAAATAACCAAAAAAAAAATGAAGAAAAGAAAAAACTATTAATACACTTAATATTGAAAGACCTGAACATTTATTCTGAGTTTCAGTCAAACTGCAGCTGAATTTGAACTCCCAGAGCTCTTTGAACCAAACGTTCCTTGTGTTGGATCCCGGCTTAAGAGAGAAATAATAGGGATCAAAATCTTTCACGTAAGGAGAATTTATTCTTACAGATAACCCGCCTAAGGCTTCGATCTCGTAATCCTTCACTACGTCATCTCTGTCAGCCCAACCGTCACTTTTTCCATAATAGATGGTTTAGATATAATATTTTTTCGTTAAAAAAAAAATTTTTTTTTTTTTTTATATATACTGAAAGAAAGAATATAATTAATTCAATTTTGTATAATGTGCAAATGTTTCCAAAAAAAAAAGATTGAAAATTTTATTTTAATTAATTTATTATTTAAAGATTTCAATATATTGTACTCACAAAAATGATAAAATATGAAGATCCGGTAAAATTTAGTTTCACTATTTTTTCCTCCATTTTAATTATATACACCTTTCTCAGCTCAAGGCAAGGCAACAAAAATAAGAACTATATTAGAGATCCTTAAGTTCGGGCCGGACCGGGCCCATTTAAAAAAAAGATTACTAGGTTCGGGCTGAGTCGGGCCTAATATTTTTTAAAAAATACGGGCCGGGTCGGGTTGAGCTTTGGAATTTTTTTCTTCAATATATCTAAATTTATCAATTTTATGTTGAATTTTAATGTAAAATAAAAATATGTAATTTTGCCTCTTTCTTTCTTTCTTTCTTTCTTTCTTTCTTTCTTTCTTTCTTTCTTTCTTTCTTTCTTTCTTTCTTTCTTTCTTTCTTTCTTTCTTTCTTTCTTTCTTTCTTTCTTTCTTTCTTTCTTTCTTTCTTTCTTTCTTTCTTTCTTTCTTTCTTTCTTTCTTTCTTTCTTTCTTTCTTTCTTTCTTTCTTTCTTTCTTTCTTTCTTTCTTTCTTTCTTTCTTTCTTTCATTATTTCATATCACTAAACTATATTAAAAAATTTTTTTAAAATAAACACTATAAAAGGGTATTTCTTTCTTTTAAGGAATATTATGAAGGATAATATAAATTTTTTATAAAAGAATAAAAATAAAAACCACATTAATTTATATTAAATTATTTAAAAATAATATTCTTTTTTTTTTGTATAATTATATATAATTTTATACCATTTTATATAAAATTTATACTTGGACTTAATAATCAATATTAATGTGTTTTTTAAAATTTTTAAAATTTTTTAAGACTTATAGACCTGTTGTATAAAAATAATAGTTAAAATACAGGTAAGATAAAAATTAAAGGAAGGAAAAAAAAATAGGAGAAAAAGAAATAGAAAGTAAGATAGTTATACACAGATCTCTTATGTAAATATCTCTTATTATCTGATTTTTTGATGGAATATATATCAGTTCAGATTGAATAGGACCAGGATTCCTTAAAAGAATAGGTGAATCGGTAGGAACAGCATATATTTCTTGGATGGGAATCGAGCCTAAAAAATAGGTCCGCCGTTTTACGGTTTTATCTATTAGATTAGTTAGTAATAAACGACGAACTTAATAAAATCATATGATATTTAAAATGATTATAAGGCTCTACTGATCATTATCCACCTTACCTAAATTATTAGAAAGAAATAAAAAATGTATATTGGAACTGCCCTCAGAGGATCATTCATCCATCATTCCCGTTTCTCTCCCTTTCAAACCGCCATTTAAGAATCGGTTGAATAACTCATCTGGATACGATACCAAGAACTAGGTATATATATAAAATGAACTAAAACCTTCCAATGAAAACGTATTTCCCTATAAGCTCCAGTTTTTTGGTAGCTATTATCAACCCCCTAACGGTTATCCCTTCGCAAAAGCACACTATCACGTTGATCCTAGGTATGGATGAAATTTCCAGCACAATTCTGTCAAAATCCTTTTGCTCCGCGCTGTTGAAAGCGCTGTCTTCGAAAGCTATACATAAATCGGCCAGTTTAGCCCGAGTCTTAAACGCTGTCATGCCGCTCGTTCCATAGTTACCTTTTTAATTTATTATTATTTTCTATTGGTAAACTTATTAATATGAAAGAGAGAATATGATAGGTTGAAAGGAGAGATTTTTCATTTGTAGGATTTCAATTTTACTCTCAAATTTGCCCTAGAAGTTGAGATCGTAAAAACTATCGAAAAAAAAATAATTATAACGAAATTTATTTTATTTTAAAATATCCGTGCCTTATTATTTATAATATAATTTAGTGTTTTTTTTAAAAGACTCGATTTGAGTGTCAATTTTTATTTAAAAACGGCTAACTCAATATTTTATCTAGAAAAATATTGCGCAAGAACGGAAGATTTTGATCATAGATGGAACAAAGGTTAGGATATCTTATAACGAAATCTTTTATTTTTCTGGCTAAAATATAAGTTAGCCGTTTTTTTAAAAAAAATAGGCTCAGATCGAACCGCTCAACAACGCTTAATCAATCAGCAAAATACTTTCATTTAAAACGAATATATACCATGCTATTTTTAATGAAAGATGGAAAGAATATGGAAAGAAGAAATATAAAAGGAATTCACGAAGATTGAGATCACCCTTAATTTATTCTTTTTATTTATTTATTTATTTATTTATTTATTTATTTCTTTCTTTCTTTCTTTCTTTCTTTCTTTCTTTCTTTCTTTCTTTCTTTCTTTCTTTCTTTCTTTCTTTCTTTCTTTCTTTCTTCCTTCCTTCCTTCCTTCCTTCCTTCCTTCCTTCCTTCCTTCCTTCCTTCCTTCCTTCCTTCCTTCCTTCCTTCCTTCCTTCCTTCCTTCCTTCCTTCCTTCCTTCCTTCCTTCCTTCCTTCCTTCCTTCCTTCCTTCCTTCCTTCCTTCCTTCCTTCCTTCCTTCCTTCCTTCCTTCCTTCCTTCCTTCCTTCCTTCCTTCCTTCCTTCCTTCCTTCCTTCCTTCCTTCTTTCCTTTCTTATTTCTAAAAGAGTAAAAGATGACCAATTTGTTTATAAATTTTTAATATCCTCAATTTACGCGCCAAAAAAACGGAATATTTTTTAAAAAAAATAAAAAATAAATATATATTAAAAAGGAATTTCTTTTCTCATTTCTTATCATCACGTATAATAAGGAGAAAAATTAAAATCAAAATGAAATGAAATGAAATGAAATGCTTTAGAGCGCTAAATATAAAGATTACATCAGAATTCAAATTAACGATTTTTTTTAAAAAATTATTTTTAATAAGTTGCTGTTTGTCTTGTTTGGTTCGATTATATGAATTAGTTCATTAGATAAGCATAGATAAGAAGAGAGAGAAATTTTTTTTTAAAAAATTACAATTATTTGCTTAGCTTTTTTTTGTTGGCGGAATAGATATAAAATTTAAAATTATAAATAAATTAAAAAAAAAAATATTTATAGTTTTGAATATATCATATCATATCATCAAAAAATGAAATTAAATATATAATATTCATAAATTTAAAGATTTTATTTAAATCGTTTCTGAAATTCTGGATGATAAGAACAAAGAATGAGGGCTAATTGCGCCGTGAAATTATTTATTTGTTGTCCGGCCTATTTGCCCCCCCCCCCCTCCCCTCCTCTAATGTAAATATACGATTTTATCTATTTATTATTTAAATCTATCAGTTAGCAGCTCAAACCATTTTTTGTTTAAGTCTTCAATAAGTCCCTTAAAATAAATTATGGCTATTTCTTTTATTCTTTTATTTCTTTCCCCCATCGTCATAGTTTGCTTAGAGTTTATGTTTACTTTTCATCTTTTGTTGCAACATCTTTTAAAACCCGTTACAATTGAGAGCTCCTCTCTACTAAAATATCGATACTTATAATCTTAAAGTGATAGGATTACATCTCTCAAATTAGTTGTAAACACAGCTCTAGTATAAGTTTAATAAATTTGTAAAATATATATATCCATAAAAAAATATATATATCATTGTTCTTAAGTTTATTATTCCTTGGTGATATTTATCAAAACAGATCATACACCGTTATATTGTGAAATAGCCCTTTCGTTTTGAATTCATATAGCAAAAAAAAAATAGTCACCAAACCCTAACCTGCAGATAGAAATCCTGAAATCCCTAAGAAGTCTCTCTGTTTTTATTTCCATAATGCATACTGTCTCGTGTTAGATTTTTTTTTTCATCATGTTCTTTCCTATCATTTTACATTTTTAAAATTTTTTTACATAGTTTAAACATCATTATCTGATCTTCCCCCTAATTCTTCCATATTAGGATACTTTGGCATAATCAGGGATATTAAATTCTTAGAGATTATCTTAAATTAATTCTATCTGAGCATGCCTCTTAGATTATTTAGGCTAGATAATTTTATCCTTATATCTGCAACTTTATTTTCACCTCATAAATTTCTTAAATTTGCCGTCTGAATAAGCTATTTTTTTTAAAAAAAACTTAAAATATATAGGAAATAAGTTATACTTTTAAGTGTATTTTTAAAGATATGCATCAACTTACGTTAAAATATATTTTTAAAAAAAACCCAAAAAATTGTATCTAGGATGATTTTCTGAATAGAATTCAGAATTAGGAACAAAAAATTTTAGACGAGGCCAAAAAACACCATCTTACTTATTATATATATTTTTTTTTTGCCATAAAGGTTGATTCAATCATCCTATTTTATTATTATTAATTAAATAGGGGGGTTTGGCTTTAAAAAATTGGTTTTTTTTTGAAAAATATTTATTCAAAACAATCTCTTATACCCGTTTATTAATTAAAATATCTCTGATTTTTTTTTCTTTTGAATCATAGATAGCGTGAGGAAAAACCTTATTTATAACTAAAATAATTCTTCTCCACGAAAAATGAAAGTAGCCTAATTTCATAACATTAAAAATTTATCTAATAAAGAATTCAAAAATGAATTCATATAGTTGAATTCGATTTTTTTTTCTCATAAATAATTAAACTTCTAAAAATAAAAATAAGTGTATATCTATTTCAAGGGTTTATTAATATTCTTTACCTTTCGCCGTTAAATTTTCATTATTAAAAAGTTGGTATGAAATAATTTTTTTTATCATACTGAATTATATATATATATATTTTTTTTCTTTATCGCAAGAAAAAAATTTTTTTTAAAATAATATATAAAATGAAAATCTAAAATTTAAAATCAAATTAAAATAATGAAATGTAAAAAAATTTAAGAAAAATAGAATGGGATTTGCGAACAATATTTTTAAAGATTACTCTGAACAAAATCCTGGAAGTGTACAGAAAATTTTCCTAAACATTTTTTGGACCCCCCCCCCTCTTTTTTTTAGTTTTCGGGAAAATATTCCTTGATACCTTAGTGAAGTTAAACGACTCGTTATGAGCCGATATTTAAAAAAACGGCTAAACTCAATATTTTAGCCAGAAAAATATTGCCTAACCCTCGTGATTTCGATAATATATGTCTTAGACCCTTTGTTCCTTCTATGAGCAAAATTTTCAGGCCTTGGGTAATATTTTTTTCTGGATGAAGTATTGAGTTGCCGTTTAACAATACTACTGGATATTGATAACCCCCAACCGAAATACGATATCGCAGAACTCGATGGAAACGATTTCCCCTTGGTTCTTTAGAATTGTAAGAGAAGTCAGCTATTCACCTACCACCACTTATGAAATTTTTTTAAAAATATGATGCTCACGCCCACTCACCCAAGATCAAGTGTCATCATTCCAGATTTAAATCGTTGGGAATTTTGGTTTTAATGAATATTAATTCCGAGATTAGTCAACAATATATCTAAACGTTTTCAGAAATTATCGTAAATCATTTTCGATGGAGAAAAATATACATTCAAGAGGTGCGGGGAAGTTAGAATGGGAAATTTTGGCATCATAGGTGCATTTGGAGGGGGATCAATTGTCTCCTCACTTTTTTTAACTTCAAAAATATCTATTTTTTTTTAAAAAAAAGGAAGAAAAGATGCAATCCAATGTTAGACGCCTAATTTGATTCTCTGCATTATCTATTCCTAAGTTTAAATAGCAATTTTGTTCATTAAAATCTTAGATATTTGGAAAAATATACATCAATATCTTGAGTTAATCTTTTACCCTTGACACAATCTATACACCAGGCTAACATTTGTTCTACTTTGTTCAACGAATTTTAAATTAATTGAAAACTAAGTTTTGCTAAACGGCTCGGTTTGAAGCCGGTTTTTTTTAAAATGGCTAACTCAATATTTTATCCAGTAAAACAAGCATGACACAAAGGGACATCTATTAGCCGAATTTCGAGGCTTAGTCAATATCTTTCCGGCCAAAATATTGACTAATTGAAACCTATATCTTATTAAACAAGTTCTTTCATTTTGCGCGTATCATTCGTTCCCTCTTCCATCAAGATTTTTAAAATCAATGCTCAAATTTTTTCTGAGCAGTTCTTTAAAGTCATTTTTAAATAAAAGATAAATTAATTTTTTTTTTGAATCGTAAATCTTAAGTGACATTTTTTAAAACACAAAACTTAAATTTTCTTTTAAACATTAATATGTTCCCAATTGTTCCCACGTAATTATTTAATATTACAATATTAGAACCATTATTTATTCCAATGATGGTACATATTATAATAATGGGATGGAGTCGAGGGTACACACAAAGTTGTATTCTTCCTGTCTCCTATACAAAGGATCTTGATAGTTACAGAATAGAGGCAATATATAACTGTTCTCTAACTACCCCCACCCCTCCTTCCAGGGTTGGAAAGTGGGATGGGTAATCACTTGCGAATCCATACGATAAATCAACCAAACCAAACCCATATCATATAAATGGTTAAATCAAAATTTGGAAGAACGGTTATCAAAAGTAATTATTACTTTTAAGATGCGAAGGCTGAGAAATGGGGATCAGAATATTGTCAACCACGACCCAGCTTTTTTTTCAGATTAGTATAACCCGAGATAAAAAAGTTTTCAAGTTTTCTCGACCCGACTTGTTGGCTCTGGGTTTTTCAAACGGCTGGTTTTGCATAGTGTTGCTTAAACGGCTCGATTAGGGCCGATTTTTAAAAACGGTTAACTCAATATATTATTCAGGAAAATAATTACGCAAGTCTGAATATTTCGCTCATAGATGTTGGACCTCTATTTGACCAAATCTTGAGGCTTACACAATATTATTTTGGATAAAATCTTAATCGGGTCATTTTAATAAAAATCTACCCAAATTCTACTGTTTAAAAATAATATTGTTAGCTATTGAACCATTATTATCATTCGTTCCTTATAGGGAACAATCGAAACCAACCTCTTGATGTACCAGGTTTTATAATAGAATTTTAAGAAAAAGCCATAGAGATCAGGGTTCGGGTTAATATATCGTCGGTTGAGTATTATAGAGTTCTATATCCACATTTTTGAAAAATGTATTTATTTTTTTTTGACGATAATAAATCGATTCTACAGCAGCGTATTCTTCCAAATGAACACAAAATATTAAAATATAATTTAGAAATAATCCTTTATTCGCATTGTTAAAGTGTAATTCGAGGATATGTCTCAATAGCAAATCCTGTTAACACACATGTTTATAATAAACAACTGAGACCTACGCAGGCTCCATGTATCCGGCGAATAATATCGTTTTGAAAATTCGGGCCGGGTTTAATAATAAATATTTTTATTAAATCTACAAACTCGATCCGTTCAGAATTATTCTTATTATTTTTTTTTGTAAATTATATCAATCAACCTCAGATGATGGATCAATTTAAACATTCGCATATAGTATTCCCTATTTTCATATACAAAACATATGGCCAAAATTATTTATAATGACCTTTGAAACCCCGATAGGGATTAAAAAAAAACCTGGGGAGAACCTGAGAAATTTTTTAAAAAGGGCCAGGCCAAAAATTTTGATCTCTGTAGGTCTTACCAATTAAAATAGCCTTTATTTTTATCTTATTTAAGTTGATCTATAATGGCTTATATATATATTTTTTTAATTATCCTTTTTTATTTAAAAATATATTTATATACTTACGATATTAATTGCTCTTATAACATAGTAAACGACGCTAGCCATTAAATGTATATGTTTAATGTTATTTTTTGACAATTTTATCATAATTGTACCAACGGAAGAATTGAAAGATTAACGAGATTTTAGATTTAAAAAAAAAAAAAAAAAATTAATATCAAACTATTTATATTATAGAGATAAATTTGATAATTAATTATAGCTTTGGCATCTATCAGGTATTTATATTCTTTTTCAAAAAAAAAAAATACACTTATTTTTTGAAACAAAATATTTGATCTACATTTATTATTAATCGCACCAAATGAATAATTTATGAAGGTTCCTTGCAAATATCGAAAGAGGCATCATTTTAGTGCGTTCCTTAATATTGGGATATTGAAATGGATATTATACTAAATAATATCTATATATGCTTCTTTGTTTTTGTATTTGGATTTTTTTTTAAGGTATCATGATCTCCACATGCATCGCGCTAGGTAAGCAGAAGTCTGCAAAACTAGTGTTGTTAAACGGCTCGATTTGAGCCAATTTTTTAAAAACGGCTACCATATGTTAGGGCCGAAATCTATTGCCTATGCCTTAAGATTTCGCAAATACCTTTCTGCAAACTATGAGCGAAATCTCCAGAACTCACATAATATTATTTTCGGGTAATTTAACAACGCTAGCTATAAAATTTTCTTAAAAATCCGGGCCCGACAGTTGTTTTTTTCAGCACAGGTATAGGGTTTTATTCGCGTGGCCTCTGTAATCTCAATCAAATTTCATAACCCCACCACTTCATAAAAATTCTTGTAACAAGGGTTTTAAAAAAAATTTTAACCGTATCTTTTTTAGCCGATTTCCATTTATACGGATAAACTAAGGGGTATTTACCCCCTAAATTTTATTGTATATGTCCCTCTCCCCTCTTATTTTCTTTCCCAATTTCCATTATTTTTGTCAATTTTATAGATTTTTAAAGCTTAATAATAAAATTATTAACCATAAAAATTTTAAAAGCAACAAAAAAATTATTTTAAAATATACGGTATTTAACATAATAACCATGAAGCTTGTTATAGGCATTAAAAGATTATTTTAAAAAAAATAAAATAAAGGGAGTTTAAATTGAAGGTATTTAACATAAATCGATATAGTACAGTTTATTTTCTACCTGATGATATCAACATCAACAAATGAAACAAAAGGACTAAAATAAAGAAAGAAGAAAATTTAAAAAACATTAAAAATATTTAGATAGTGAGTTGAAAATTAAAATAATTTTTTTTTATAGGTATAAAGTAGAAGGGGATGTCATATTTTATTAAACGCCTAATATAAAAAAAATATAATATGCACTAAAAATTTACCAACCTAATTAGTGATAATTGGTTTTAAAGTATATATATATATATTTTAGTATATGTATATTTTTATATGATCTTTTTTTGACTAATATAAATATTTTAAGTATGTTAAATGATTAAATTCAATATTCCTAATGTTGCTAAACTGCTCGTTTTGAGCCGATTTTAATCCCACTTATAAATAACGCTGAGCGGGAAGGGATAGGAACAGCTTTGCTTCCATTTTTTTTGAGGGTAGTAAGTGGTAGGACTTAAAGGGTGGTGGGCTAGGGGTAGGGTAAATTTATTAGGGGGTTATTTATTGAATGTTTAGATAAAAATAGGGCAAAATATTTATTACACACCTATTACAAAATACAATGATATCGCTAAACATTTCAAATCGATCTATAGCATAATAATCATAGATATTATTTTCCATATAAAAATCTTTCTGAAATCCCTTTAAATGTAATTAAAAAGGGTTATGGCATACTCAGTAATCCTATATTATTGTCAAATACAATATGTTATAATAATGCATTAATTGTAAATGATGGGGTTTTTTAATTGAATTTATATGCTAAAAAATATCAACTTTAGCATTGTCAAGATTTTGATAGTTGGTATAAATTTAAGTTATTATTTTTTAAAATGGTATAAAGGGAGTGCCATTATAATTAAAAAAGTTATAATTAATAATGTAAAAAGCAAGTGAAAATCATGTCAGCCTAGGCGCTGATCTGGGAGGGCAGGGGTCTAATGTTCTGTAGACTTTCCCTTAAATACTCTAATGGACATTTAAAATTCTTATATTTAAAATAAAATTTTTCATTCTCTAAACCTTGTGTCACGAAAAATAAAATGATAAAATTTTTTATATACCTCACTACCAAATTTACTAAATTAAATCAATATATTTAAAGTATCGTATTTTAAGTTGTATTATCATGATAAAGTATTGTTTAGATTATATATTAAATATATTGGAATTATGAATTAATATCAATAAACTCTTTATTCATCTAAATAAATCATCCCTTTGAGGTGATGATTTAATATAAAGTAATATATAATATTTCAGATGGGCATAATAAAAATTATTAAAATCATCCCCTCATCCTTAGTTATTATGGACCTGTTAAGGACTAATTAAGCTTTTACTAAGCATTGTACTACGTAGTAGTGATCTGCTTAGGGCTTAATTTTTTTAAGCCAGCCGAAATTTTTTTAAAAGAGTTGTGCCGGTCCGGCCCGAACCCGAAATTATTTTGAAAAACGTTTAGCCGGCCCGGCCCGATTTGTTTTTAAATATAGAAATTCGTTTTTTTAAATTACCCAAAATAAAATTTCTATAAATAAAATCAAATATATTTATTTTACATATAAAATCTAACGTAAAATTGATAAATCTAGGTAGGCCGACCGGATTTGGGCTGAGCCTACTGTTGTGGATCTCTACTATGTAGTAATATTATATATATTCTACGATCTTTTATTAACAACATTATATTATCTGCTTGTACGTTATTTTGGGGCTATAAATCAAATATTTAAAGTATAGATAATTGTAAAAAATTAATTTATTTTCTTATTGAAATAACATTAAAATGTTTTTTTTTTTAAAATATCCAATTAACTTTTACCGAAAGATAAAATATATTAGCATCAATGTGTTTTTTTTTCTGGCAATGTGTTTATTTTTTTTTCAACTTTAAATCGTTTTTTTTGAGTGCGGAAATATATTCCAGCATGTTTAGAATACCTATCTTATTATGAATTGTAGATAATTTTGACCGATAACTGTCGAGCCATTTCTAAATTTATACGAAAAATCAATGGAAAAAAATTATATAAATTATATTAAGTTCAAAAGTTCGTAACAAAATTAATCTGAAATTCATAGGTAGGTTATTCCAAACACGATAGAATTCATTTCCGGTTAAAATCAAAAATTTAAAATTCAAAAATATGGTGCTCAAAAAAAAATGATTTAAAGTTGAAAAAAAATAACACATTGACGCTAACATAATAAAGATCATTATTTTTATTACCACTTATTATAAATATCTTTAAATTCTTGTCTACTATACTATCTTAAAATCTCTAAGCACTATTGAGTCGTTATAAAAAAATAAATAAATAAAACCTTCGGTATTTATCGCGGCTATGTAAGACCAGCCGTTAAGCTTGAGAATATCTACCATGACCTGCGCTTGATATTCGTCTGATGGGACTACCCTCATGTATGTTTTGAACATTTTCTTGTTGCTCAGATCTTTGCTCGTCGAGAAATCTATTTGAGGAATATTGAAGGTCTGTAACAAATTTTGAACCTGTATAGCCACCGCGCTCGAACCGGGCCCTATTATTCCTGCTATGTTCTTGTACTTGGGCTTTCTTTCGCGAGCTTTGGGGATTAACGACGCTTCAGTTACGAAGAGCGGGGGCAAAACATCACTCGTCAAGACGTTTTTCTTCTTACTGCTATTGCCTTTGAACGATGACGACTTTGTCTTGTTTGTTTTCCCTTTCTGCCTTCTCCTTTTAGTCGTAGTAGTAATACGGGGAGGGAGTTTGGTAGAATGCGAAGCTCCCAATATCAAATCGCTAGTACTGACTTTCGATTTTCCAAATTTTTTAACGATATTTAAACTATCGCGAGCTGGGTTGACAGAATTCGCTATGATTAACGAACCTTTCGTAGGGTTATTTATTGCAAAAATTGAACCGTTAACGCTATTCCTCGTTAAAAGTTCGTCGGAATTTTTTACCTTTTCCGCCTCATTTAGAAATGGGATATCGGCCCTTTTGCTTTCCGCTACCCCTGGTTTTGACTCACCATTTACATAATTGGAAACTAAGGGTTCTTCAGCGTAATCAACGCTATTAGTGGATGTTACCGAGATTTGGTCTCTAATAAATTCTATCGTCTGTCCAAGGGCGATGGAGGAATACCAGCACGAGTCCCTGACTTCTATGCCTAGTTTAATGTCTGGCAAGATTGAGGGATCCTCATTAATCATTTCGACGGCTCTAGCAGCCGCTTCGAGCCTTTGGATTCCGTATTGTTCCCAAATCTCTCCGCATTGCCTGGAAGAGCTATCCTGGGGTTGGTGATGCATAGAAAACAGGGCTCCTATCATGATATCGCCGTCGATGTACATAGTTTTACTGGGCACGTGTCGGGGCACGCCATCTTGGGAAGAAAGGGGGCCTTCTTGTGGCTTAGAAAAATCGGAATACGATGGCGGAGGAATACCCATTATTTTTAGTTTCTGAAAAGACATCACTAGCTTCGCGGTAAGGTAGGGAGGGATGTTAATAAAATGCAACGATATCGGACTGACCTTCTCTCCATTTACGACGTACGTTTTTTCAACGGTAGAAGAATCAAAATCGGTCACAGCCATTTTGGTGGCGTAAAAAATATCCTGTTCGATATCAATTCTTTCCAAGAACGAGCTCCCATTCAAGGCTTCCAAATCACTATTTTTATTCGAGTAAATGTGGGTGAGGTTGTAGGCCGAGACGAGCGAATATTGGTTATCGACATGGTCATCGACAAATTTATAATTGACGGGTAGGATGGTATTATTTTGGATGCCAGGTAGACGCAAAATATTGCCCAAAAATGGTTTCGGATGAGCGCGTTCGGTGGTTGAAGCCGCGTTGTTCCTATGACTAAGTTTGCTGATAAGTATATTTCCGTTATTAGAGGCGTTTTTTGTTGGAGAATGAAAACCGAATATGATGGGCATGATCGAAAATGTTATTATTATAGACAATCCTATTGCGGAATTAGGTTTACTCATAGAATAAATACGTTCCAACTTAAATAAAATAATTTATTATCTCCATAACCACATGGTCCACCCCCTATATGCGTGGTTTTCTAGCTTGCTTATAATAAAGGATCCTTTCAGTATGAATTGCGATCAACGCTTATTCCCAATATTTTTAAAAATAATATTTAGATTTAAAAAAAAAATATAACAAAATTTAATATTTCCCTTTCGAAAGATTTATGTAATTTTTTTTTTTTGCCAAATTTTTTTATGAGTATTATATATAACTAAAACTAAGCTAAAGCTAAAATAATATATTTTATATAATATTTATTATATATAATTACTATAATGATTGTAGAAACTTTATATAATCTAATAAAGTTTATATTAAAATAAATTTATATATTTTTTTTATATTATTTCTTAATAAGAACCAATAAATAATTTTTTTTTTTTTTTGCTTTTTTTTTCATTATTAGATAATTATTATATAAATTGATAAATTGTAAAATAAAAATGATGAAAAAAAAATATTATTATTTGGTCAAAAACCGTAAAAAAAGTAAAAAATGAAGGAAATATCCAGAGTAATTTTTAATTTTCTCGAAAATATCACTTTAAAAGAAAATTTTTTTGAAAGTAAATATTATAATTAGATTTATTAAAATTTTTACTAGTGTATATTAGTGTTATTAAACGGCTCGACTCAATTATCCAGAATAATATTACTCTGCATTCACGGTTAGCTCAAACTTGCGGCGAAGTATATAAAATATGCTCAAAAATAATTGAAGATTTTTTTTTATTGAAGAACAAAAGATTTTTGATCTAATTTTGTTCAAAATGCCAAAAAATCTCATGCAATAACAAAATAAAATAAAATTTTTTATTTTGTAGATTGTATTAATTATATATATTTTTTTTTCTTGAAATTTTGCTCGTTAATTCATCTTGATATAACAGTTTATGCTATGGACTTTTATTTTAAAATATTTTTTTAAAAGAACATAAATGGAAATGCAAGAAAAATAAGGAACTTAAACCACTATTTTCTAGTAAAAAAAAAAGAAAATAATTTGATATCAAATTAAAATAATATTTTCTAAAATAAAATAAAAACCTTGATAATTTTTTCATCGTTCCTTTAACAAAACAAAAAAAAAAGGATGAGTTTTCCTGTATCGTTATCGATAGATTTAATTTAAAAGAGATTCTCTCTAAAAATAAATCAGTTTTTTACACTTTATCATTATTATTTTCGGCATAATTAAAATAAGATGAGATTTTGGAAAAAAAAATGATGAAAACGTAAAAAGAGAGGACGCGAAATGAATTCAAAATTAGAGAAATAAACGAACTTTGGGTTTAATTAATATTTTAGAAAGAAAGAAAGAAAGAAAGAAAGAAAGAAGTAATATATATTTGGAAAATTAAAAAGTTTTTTTTTGAGTGTTTTATGGTAAAACAGAACGTGTATTTGGATAAGTGTCATCTAAGGAATCCGTTCATCTTCAAGAACGGGACAGGATAAGGCGAAAACAAGGTGGGATTATGATTTGGTCCGAGTAAGACAGGTGAAGAAATGAATCGTTTGTTTGAAAGTTAGCATTTACCATACTCATTAAAATTATGAAAGACTTTTAAATTTTAAATTTCAATACTGAATTAGTTTCGAAATAATTCTCATTGAGTCAAATAGAATCCCCTGCATATCATTCATAATTGTGAATGAATATCGAATTGGGATCGAATTGATTCCATCACACCGGCACCATCTGTCGTGTACGGCCAATGACATTCTAGACTGACGATGCATGCGTACATCAATGAAAAACAGCTGGAGACCCCATTTTGGTTACCCATATCATTATTAAAAAATGTTAAACTAGAGGCCAATTTATTTCCTGTGTCCAAGGCAAACTTTATTTAAGAATCGCCTGATCATCTAGATAATATGGAAGCGAGTTATCAATTTAATTGGTAGTTTTTAACATGATAATAATGTACGGGTTACCAAAATGGCGGATCCAGCTGATTGGCATTCAACGACACTTTCAAATACATTATTACGAACGTCAGTCTAGGCATTATTATATTTCATTGTATATGACAAAACAATATTTTTTTTCAAAAATAAAATATAAACAAGTTCCCTGTACATCTAGTTTAGGGTATGAATAGGCAGTGTTGTTAAAAAACGGCTTAGTTTTCAAAAACGAACCTTAATGTTAAACGGCTAACTCTATATTTCATTCAGAAATATATAACGCAAGCCTGAAGATTTTGCTCATAGAAGGAACAAAAGATTTAGACATATATTATCGAAATTTCGAGGCTTAGTAGGCAATATTTTTCTGGCTAAAATATTGAGTTAGCCGTTTAAAAAAATTGGCTCAAAATGAGCCGTTTAAACAACACTAGTTAAACCTACACCTTAGCCAAAAATATTGGGTAAGTCTGGAGATTTTTGCTCATAGACAGAGAAAGGTTTGGACATCTCTTAACAAAATCTCGATGCTTGCAGTCATTTTTTTTGGCCCAAAATATTAACGTACGTGATACGTGATATTTAGCGCATTGCCCTTCTAGCGTTACGACAGAGCTACGCTAGGGTTTTCCCTCATTTCCATCTAATTGGAAAGAAATTCAATTTTTGGGTATAAAGTATAAAATATGAAGGGCCCTCTACACGTTTGCTGGCAAGCCGCGCGGTACGCGAAACATTTCGAAAGAAAGTTACAGACGTCCATAGAGCTTTGTATATCCGGGCCCAAAATATTGGGTTAGTCGTTTTTTTTAACAACCACTAGGTATACATGTTCAACAAAACATTTAAAAAAAAATTATTTATAGGGAAATTTTTAATATTATCCATTTAACCAAATTTTATGAGGGGGTAGCCAATGAAATTTTATTTTTTTGATTTTTTTTTCCTTCACTCGATATTAATATAATAATTTTATTTAATTTCATATATTGAAAAGAATAGAAAACTTGGGAAAAATACGAGGGAAGAGAAAGTTTATAGCAGTTATATAGGATGTTAATCCCTTTTTACATTCGTTGATATTACATTATATCACATATTATTTATAAAAGTAATAACGTTTGCGATATCGATGAAAATGGCTTATATAAAAATTACAAAAAATATTTATTTAAAAAAATTTTTTTTTTATTATTATTATTATATTTTTTTTTAATGACATTTTTTTTTGTAAATTTATCTTTTTTTGACTATTTCTAATCATTATTTTCTGGGTGTTTAAAGTACACTGTAAAAAAGAAAGAAAGAAGAAATAAAGAAAAAACTGTAAAAAAAAAAGAAAGAAGAAAAGAAATAAAGAAAAAATGTAATAAGGGAAGTGAGTAAAATAATACGAATTTAAATCATTATTTGATGTATTTTTGTATTTTGAGCCCGAAAAAATTTCTTATATTCTATTTCCACAATCCTATACCTATATACATATTATATATATCAAAAAAGGGTTATACATTGATGTTTGTTATTCATTAAGTTGTTTATAATATCTTTATTAAATGATATGTAAGATGATATAATCAGAGACCTACAGAGAGGTATCATTTACGTGGCCCGGCCCAAATTTTTAAAAAAAAATATATTATATTTATTTATGATTTTTATAGCTAATATGGGCGATTAATATGGCCCCGGCCCGTGTACTAGGACCGAGCTTAGGGCCGGGCCTTCAGGCCACTGGATATAGGAAAGGCAAAGTAAAGAAACATTGAACATATTAGGTTATAATTTTATATTATATATCGTTTATATACTATTGATAAGAGAAAGATCGGACTTGACAGTTTACCTTCATCTCATTAGGAATATAAGGATTTTGCAAATAAATTAAAATGATGAAAACTAAATTTTACGATCTCAAAGTAAGGGAAAAAGTTTTAACCACATTCAGAATGTTAAGCGTACCTTGTCCTTAAAACACCTTTATAATAACATCTCTGTAAAGCGTAATTTATTCAATATAAATGCTTTTTTTTTACGAAAATAAAAATACATTTAAAATGTGTTTTATTTATACACCAATTATGGCTTAATACATATCATTCATCACCGATTGTCATAAACACAGCATCATTAAAATATCATATATATTATAACATATATTATGATAATAAATTTCGGGGATAAAAGAATTTTTTTTTAAAACGTTTATAAACATATATTTTTACAAAATAAATGAAATAATTTGGACTAAAAAGGAAATTATTATTATATAATATACCGAATTTGATGATTATTCTAATAAATTATATATTCTGATAATTCATAAAAATTTAAGTTCATAAATTTCTGCAAAAAAGTATGATTAATTTATTCCACACACAAAACTCAAATATTAATGTACCAATACGCTATAGAGCAAGCTCTCTCTCTCTCCCAAAATGATTTATATATTAATCACTCATAATTTATTATAATCTCTTCTCTATAAACTAACACGATATCCATAAATTTAGTTATTATACTATATTTGTAAAAGAACTAAACTTACTTTAAATATATTTTACAATATAATAAATATTTCTATTATAATTAATGAATATAAGTAGATAAATATAATATACTCACAACGCGTTTCATAGTTTGTGATTGAATATGTATTTTTTTTTTTAAAAAATATAATACATAATTTTAGACATAATTAAAGTTATAAATATATACAAATAATTTTATCCTTCTATAGAATTATTATTTATTCTTTTTTTTAAAAAAATTCATTTTCTAAGAAGAAAATGCTATTTTTTTTCTTTAATAATTTCTTTTAGGATTTTAGGCTAATATTACGTAAAATCCTTCTTATAAATTTGAAATTAAAAGCTATAAAAAAAATTCCTTTTTTTTTAAAAAAATAGCTTAAAAAATTTTCTTTAAAGAAATCAATCAATCAATCATTTCGATAAAAATGATTAACCCTACCTTGAGTGCATATAATCTATACAAATATTTTGATGAAATGGCAAATAGCTATAAGAAAACTAAAGGAAATAACAGTAAGCTAATAGAATAGGAGTATATGAGTTTAGAGGTAATGTGTTTTTTTCCGGCAGTGCGTTATTTTTTTTTTTAAACTTTAAAATCATTTATTGAATGCCTTTTTTTTTTTGAAATATTTTGTAATTCCATCATGTTTGGAATACCTTACTCCATGAATTTATAATAATTTTTGTCGTGATCTTCTGAAACCTTATTATAATTTATATCAGGTTTTTTCCATAGACTTTTCATATGAATTATAAATGAACTCAAAAGTTAAAGGGGAAAAATGCCTACAATTCATAAGATAAGTATATCTAAACATCCTGGAAGTACATTTTCCCGGTAAAATCAGATTTAGAAGGCGCGCAAAAAATTGATTTAAAGTTTAAAGAAATAACACGTTGTCGGAAAAAAAACGCCTAACATAGATTATTAAAATAAAAAAAACGATCAAATTTTGTTTTCTTAACCAATCATAACATCCTAAACCTGGCGGAATCTTTATGTGCTGTTTATATCAACCAATCAGGTGTCTTAGTCCTTTTAAAAAAAAATTTGAAAAGCCTCTCTGAAAATTTTAAATATTTTTATACACCATGTTAGCTTAATAATTACATCAAGTATTTTTTTAAAAAAGAAACATATTAAAAAAAATTAAAAAGCGTTCAAAAACAAAATTTTCATTTCTTTAAATAAATAAATTTCAAATACAACAACAATCACTTAAATTTGTAAATCGATTAGCTTTAGTTATTTCCTATTAATTTTCTATTTTTCCTATTTCTTTCCTCCTTTTTTTTTCCACTTTCTTATATTTCCCTTCTTCTTTTAATGGTAAACAACGATATAATTTTATTATTTTATATCATGTATTAACTGATTTATATTTTTATTAAAGTGACCAGATAATTCCCAGATAATCTTAGTAAATCAATAATCTCTTAACTGTTACGTTATACATAAAAGTGAACCCACACCTTTACAAAGTGTCTTTCTCGAGATTGTCTGGGGTCAACTAATATGAATGACATAATAATCATAAAACTTTTTATTTAGCTTTAGAATCTAAACACACTCTTATGGAATCTTATTACTACAGAGCTTTCAAACTAAGCCCTTACAGAACTTATGCGCAGCCTCCTATCTTTGACGGTAGTGAAAATGGACTCAAGTTATCGATTAACAGATATGCTAGACATTCAAAAGAAACAAGTAATAAAACTCAATATTTTTTAAAATATATTTAAGAGATGTTATCTTAGTCCGCGGGTTGTGGTGATGAAGTTAAATTAAAAAGCAGATTAATATTTAAAAAATTTATTATGATTTAGACATCCAACTTGGTGAATTAAACGAAATATCATGCAATAATCCTATAAAAAACATTGACTTCCATTTAATATATTAATTCATGCTGACTCCTTAAAAATAAGGAATTAGAAATGAATGCCATAGAAAAATATTACATATTTATATGTCTAAATTTAATTTTTGATAAAGGCTTAAAATATTTTCGATCATTATTATTTAAAAGGTTTAGATTTTTCAGTTGACAACGCCATAATCGAGTCTAGCTATCGGATACCAAATATAAGTCCAGTACATAAATCTAGAGGCGGATGCGCCGATTGCAAGGGGTTGATAAATGACAATTATATAGAACATTTGAAGATATTTTACCAAATTTTGCAAGAAGAGGAAAACGAATTATTACCCCCCGTCAGTGATAACAAAGTTAACAAGAGGAATGAGATGAATATGATAGAACCTCCGTACAAGTATATACAACCAACTACCGCCGCTATGCCCAGAAGTTTTTTCAAAAGGCCGGATACACCTTATAACTTTGATCGTAGCATCGATCGCTTCTCCAGTGGCGCCCAATCCGCGGAATCTCTAGAGAAAAATGTAGGTGTGCAAAGAGTATCCAGACCTAAATCTCTCGATAAACATACTTCTACGGTTCAAAATGTGAGCGTCTTTACCAATGAAGAACCAGGATTGGTATACCGAGGAATAGAACGTTTAGAGGAATGGATTAATCCCAGACCTATGGCCCGTGATAGTATACCCATACAATACAAATACAATCCTGGGATCTTTAATGAACCCAATATTCAATCAAATATTAGCCAATATAAGAAATACTCTCCAAAAGATTTTGTCAGCGATTCAGAACCAGTGTTAGAAATAGGAGAACAGTACTACAATAATTATAGAGCGAGCTTTGAAGGGCCTTACCCTTATGAAAATATGTTTAATTCTCATATGGCCCCTTTGTCTGGCAGAAATAGATTACTGAATGACGTAGACACTTTGGCTAATACCGCCATAAATAGTTTAAATGGCGGTTATTACAACCCACCATTACATCAATTGCCCTATTACGAAGGCAGAAATCCCTGGGTACCAGATTCTATGACATCTTTGCCGTCTGTTAAGAAACTTAAAGGGAAAAGCCCGAAAGTAAGGGATTCCGATAGATATTATTTGACGGAAGATGAAGATAAAGTTAAGCCCAATCAGAAAAAAAAGAAAAAAAGCGGAGGAAAAGGGAAAAATAAGGAGCCTTCAGTCTCAGATAGTACTGAAGCTTCAGAGGATTTGGAAGATTACCTAACATCGAGTGACGAGGGTATAAATCCTATTGATTTATTAGTTTCTATAGATTATTTTAAGTTTAATCTTTTTTTATAGCTTTTGCATTATATAAAAATTGATAACTTGTTTATTATCGATATATTAGATGAAGACGATGAAAAACCTAAACCGAAAAGAAAATCAAAAAGGTAAGGAATTGATTTTTTTTGTTGTAATTTATCTAGTGTTTCATTATCAAATAATTATAAATTATTTCCTAGCGAGAAAAAGATGGACACTGACATAAAGCCTTCATCTCCATCGATAAAATCTAAGGCTAAGTCAAAACATTCACAGGATGCCAATAAAGAAGTAAGACCCAGTTTCTCGCATAAACCAGTTATCGAGAAATCACCGGAAACTAAAGCTGATCATAGAAATCTTCCTAAATCTATACATGATGATGGTGCTATATCTGGTATTGATCCTTCATCCTTATTACTGAAGGATAAGGTAACAGAAGGCTTTAAGCCAGACATTCCACCAGCATACGCTATTCAAGAAGGAGCGCCTATTAAAAACTCTTCCCAACATATAGCCCAGAGCCCGAAGAAGCTAACTTCAACTCCGAAGAATATGTCTGCCGGGTTCTCATCCGACGTATCCTTGCCATCTTCCAATACTTCTCAATTCAAGATAGCTAAAGAAACGGAAGTGCAAACCAAATTCCAACTTCCAAACCATCCTACCCTCACCAGCCAAGAACAATTCGATGTGATCAACAAATCTAAAAAATTGGGAAATTTTAAAATGAAAAAACCGCATATTGGTAGCAATATTGTCATAAAAACTTTACCATCCGCTAATACTAAAACTGTTTAAATGAGTAAAAACTAGTGTTTTTTTTTATTAATAATAAATTTTAGAGATTTTATACTAAAAATCAATTGATTTTTTTTTTTGGCAAAAATCAGATATTAACAAAAATATTTTCTTAAGTTCTTATAAGTTTTACTTATTTATTAAAAATCCGATATTAAATTTCCCAAATTATATTCTCAGCCATTTCAAAATTGGAATGGATTTTAAACTTTGATTATTTGACCGCCAAGATCGGTAAAGCTAATTTAGATTGGCATTAAAAAAATCTTTAAACATTCAGCTTTGTGTGGAAGTGGAAAGCTAATTTAATTTCCCGCTAATGGTATTTTATTCATTAATTTTGAAAAAAAAACAAACTTTAAATTTATAAGTTTATGTTAGCGGCTTATATTTAAAAATAAATAAACCTTTACCTGACAAAAATTCATAAAAATTTATCAGCAAAATTTCGATATTATTATAGAACATTTAAGAAATCTGTTAATATATTATATAGGAAAAGGAAGAAATTGCTATTATTTTTTTTATCATTATTATTATCTATTGATCAGTATCGATTGTCACTCGAGCGAGATATATATATATAAATTGGTAAGTTTGCATAAATTTGCCATTTGAGGTCGTAATTATTAATGATTAAAAGTAATAAAAAAAATATATATAGAATTTTTGGATAAATAAAATATATTAATAATTTTTTCTCATTTTTCGAAATTGCTATTAAATATAATAGTATTTATCTAAGTTGATAATTTAAATCTTATATTTTTATTTTATGTATTATAATTTTTTTTTATAACACTTCTTATGGTTTTATGGTTTCAACTAGAGAGACTCAGATTCAAGATAGAAACTCTAATAGTAAATCTGCAGAATTTTTACACCCCCCCCCTCCCCACTAAATATATTAGGACTATTAGATAAATTTTATTGAATAATAAGAGGAAAGGGATGGGAGGTAAATAAGGAATAATGATAGAACTAAATTTGAATTTTTTTTTGAATTTTCCATAAATGATAATATTTATCTCCTGTCATCTCAACCCTTCAATCCACGTTTCTTTTTAAACGGAACCTTGCACATTTCATTTTTGTTGCCTTCGAATAATATTCCTACTACACATTGTCCAAAATTTTTTAAAAATAACTTTCACAATTGTCAGCTTTTCAATCATTGACACTCAGTCAATTACAATTAATAAATCTGTTCTCCAATGGCTGGAAAATTACATCGCTACTATCACAAAATCACTACCATTGCTTTCATTTAATATCACAAAATTAACATTTAATATATCAGCAGAGCTCCTTCCCATGCGCTTGTTATAGGCTTTTCTACTTTTTAAAAATCTTTTCGCATTAATTTATCAAATCAAATTTTTAGCTTCCATGTTCATTTCCCATTTAAAATGTCTTATATACTTTTAAAATAAAGACACAATTTACAAATATATATATTTTTTTTAACTTACTCCATTTTTTATTATTAATGGCGACTTGATACTAATCATCATTTCATAACATTAAACTACATTCATCAAGTGATCCATAATTCAATTTGTGCCCCCGTCCTATATTAATATAGACCACAATAATTAAAAAGAATTACTCTCTTTAGAGACCCATATTGATGCGCATTTTCTTGATCTGCTAATTGCGCAACATAACTTCATTTCATTTGCCTGATGATTTTACTTCAGTTTAACTGTAGATAAAAATCATAGTCACTTTCATTATAAAGACTCCTTGAACCTTATCAAATTTTACCAAAAATGTTGCAATGCCTTACTTGCACCTAACCTTGTTTAGTTTTCCGCTATTGTTATTTATCATGCATTTTGTTTTAACCAAGCTTTATCGATCCGTTATTTGTCGTTTAGAGATTGCGCTCACGTGGCGTGAAACTTATATTTATCCAGCATTTTTGTCTTTTATAAGTTATTATGCAATTATGATTGAAATAAACTAATTTGTTTGGGGAACACAAAAGTTAAATAGCATGCTAACGTAAGACCACTTTATTCAAATTATATACGAAAACATACAAACCAATTTATAAAGCAAAAGTCTTAATTTTTTTTTTTTCATAGAAATTAATTTAAAATTGACAGCCACTTTAATTGGATTGAGAGGTCAATTTCAAGTTTAAAAAAAAAGATATTATTTAAATTAAAAACATATTTTTATGTTTTTTAATAAATAAAATCAATTCATTTTAAGGAAAATATAAAATTTATTTCTGTTGATAAAAAAATATGGAAATTAACTAATAAAGTTTTGTATTATATACATAAATTTTTTTTCAAGGTTTCAAACTCTATTTAATATGAAAAATGATAGTAATATAAATATTAAGAATTATTAATATGATATTATATTTCACGGAAAGTCAGCGATGAAATAATATACAAATCGAAAAGTACAGAAGAAATGAGAAATATCATAAATATTATTTATTAGATATCATTCACTATAACTCGTTGTCAAAGGCAAGGGTGTCAAACAAATTCTTATTATTTATGTTAATATAATAGTTTAAAATTAATGATAAACATATCTATATCTAGAATAACCTTCCCCCTTCCCTAGAAAAAGGGAAATAAATTTCCTTTTATCCCACTTCTAGTGTCTAAGCACATAGCTATGCCGCCATATTTCTAACAACCAGAAAAAAAAATTTAATTGAATTTAAATTCATTTTATCCAAAAATTTTACAATTTTTTAAAATTTAACCATTTCAAATAAAATTTTGGCTTGCCATATTCATATCTTTTATCCGAATTTAAAAAAGAAAGAAAGAGGGGAACCTCTGACGAGCCCTTGATTATAGCCAAGATTTGATAAATTACCCATCCAAGCTGATAATGATTCGCCAAGTGAATAGATAGATCAGTGGCGTATCCAGGATTTTCTTATAGGGGGGAAATTTTTGGGGGCTTCGCCCCCAAACCCCTTTTGTCTTATTTAGCTATTCTATTAAATTATTCATAATTTAGTAATAATTATATTTCTATTTTTAACTATTATTTACTAATTCGTGCTTATGGATAGGATATTACAAGCCTCTTTTTTATTATTTCAAGTTAGGTATATTATATTTAATAAAGTTTTTTTAAATGTAAAGTTGAAATAAAGTGTAATGTCATTTTTTTTATAAAATTTGCTTTAAAAACTAGCCTCAGCTTCATACAATATAAGTAGAATATAATTTTTTTATTGAAAATACTAATAGTATAGTGTGTTTAAAAGATTGACTAGAAAATAATTAAATTAACAAGTTTTTTTAACTTCTTATCAAATACAAGATTTTTAATTATTTCGTTTGTCGTTGGAACCAAATCTCTGTGTATATTTAACAGAGCTAACCCATTTAGCCGAGATTCAGTACTTCGTAAATATGTTTTCAACCTTCTCAAGTTGGAAATCCTTTCATTCGTACATGTTGTAATAGGCAAACATGCAAGAATATAAAACAACTTCGAAATATTAGGAAATTGAATATTTATTTTCATCTCAATAATGGCCTAGGTGCTAGACGAGGTTTAATTAGTATTATATCATAAAATTTAGCCTTCGATTCAACGATTCATTCTTATTGTATCTACCTGTTCATGTATATTTTCCGCCAAATCAATAACCTGAACCAAATCTAAATTTGGTTTTTGTAAATTTCTACAAAGTAGTGAGCTAAAAATAATTTATTGATGCAACTAGCAGCAATGATAAACTCTGATTTGAATTCAATAATGATATCGCTGCTGACGACACATTACTTTTTTCATGCTCAGCCTTATTTATAAATTATCGTTTGATTTCAATCTCTCTGACTAAATATTTTTCCATTTTATTAATTTTGAATAATATGTTGGAAAATTGATATTCAAATATTTGTAAAATTTTGATTGGTGGGGGGGGGGGGGTGGGGGTAAAATTTTTATTAGCTTAAAATGATATTTATGAAAATAGTCACATTTGCGATGGGGGGGGGGGGAATTTCCCCCTTTCCCCCCATTGGTTACGCGCCTGAGATAGATCATCAATCTATATAAATATACTACAATGCTTAGATTACTTATATAAAAATGGGCAGTTTGTAAATAATTAACCGGAAATCAAAATTTTAAAACTCCCAAAGGAAAAAAAAGTATTAAAATCTAAACAAATAAAATTGATTAATAAACTTTCAAAAATTTTTGGAAAACGAATCATGCAAATAGGTTTGAACCGACTCCATGACATCATGGTCTAAATATTTAAAAAACATTCTTTTTTTGGAATACGAATGCGTTATGTACAAAAATTCAGATAGAAATATATAGAAGTGGAAATTAGGGCAAACAATATTTTTTTTACCTTTCAAATGAGATAAACATTTGGATTTCGATTAGCATAATAAGACAAAAATGATAAAATTGCGTTTTTGCATGTTTATTGATAATTAAAATTAAAATAGGGGAAAACTAAGAAATTTTCGAAACAAATGAAATTGGAAAATAAAACACCGTAATTATTTCTAAATGATGTGACATTAAATGTGTTTATAATATTAATATAACACTCTTATTAATGTATCATAAAAATTAAAAGAGAGGTAATTTAATGAAACTTAGATTTTATATATATTATTATATATATTTAAATTTCATTTTTTTTAAAAAAAACAACTTACATAATATCATGAAACATTTAGTAAATTTATAAAATAAAAATACAATTAAATTACATTTTAAATTTGGGTGTAAAAAAAAACATATATCCGGGGTTCGAAGAGATGAAATCCATCTCAAATTAAATTACACGATTTGGTAAAAATTTTACTTTACATAAAATTTGTTGCTCTTTTAGCAAAATAATTTTTATCCCATATCTTCTTAGGTCGTTTTTAAACAAGTAGTTTATGTTAAAAAGAAGGCGAGACAGTGGTTTAGGCATGGTAGGGGGTTTGACTCCCACTCCCCTCATAATAAATGTTTTTAATTTAAAAAACAACTATTTTTAT